AACAGCCTCGTTATAATAAAGTGAAGAGGCAAACACTGCCCTAATACTCAGGGGGAAGCTTGCTGAGTGTAAAGGTCTTGGCTGACTGGTCTGTAGGTGCTTTTCTATAACAAGAGCCGCTGACAGAAGAGCAAACAGAGGAAACCATACACCCCTCTGTCCTGGAGAGCTGAGCTGGCCAGAAAACAAAGGAAGGAAATTCTTTGTCTGCTGAAAATAGTTTCACATAGATAAATAACAAATAATAATTAAACCTTGTTTAAAGCATTACATATACCCACAAGCAAAACCTTTAAACAGAAGGAAATATAGAGCATGGTGATCTAATTCAGATACTGAACGTTGGAAATACTGTTTGTTGGCTTTGCTGTATGAGGTTCTGTGTTTTTGAAGCATTCCTGGGAGGCTATGTGGACCAGACTGGCAGACTGGGTGATGAGTAACAGCTCACCACAGAGGGAAGAAAGGCATGGCTGGCTTGTGTCTGTTTACACATTATCAAATGCGCACAGATGTTAGGAGTAAATACAAGTGTTTTACTCTTCAAAGCTGTTTCACCTTGCATTATAATCATCCCAAACTGCAGAGCAGAGTATCAGTGAGGTCACAGTGACATAGGTAGATCTTTCATTAGACGTCAGAGTTTCGGAGCAGAGCGAAAAGGCAAGAGAGGTGGGCTCAGAGAGGAGACAAGGACTTTCATTCAGCCCCTCCATGTCTCCTTGTAAAACTATCTTTCAACATGCACTTCTCACTCTTTCAGTGCGAGCCTTCAAGCCTGCTTTGAATGTCTTATTTTACTCCAGAAAGGAAGCGAAAGGAAGCCACATTTCCAGTAGAACATTATTTTTATTTAATCATAAATATTACAAACTGACACCAAAAGTGTCAGTGTTTATGTCACCATCATTAACAACACTTCTTGTATATCTCAAAGCAGTCATTGGTGCTGGCATTGCCTGGTGGTGAGAGATGGCCAGCAAGCATGCAAGCTCACAACAGCCATCTTCAAGGCATTATTACTCTGAGAGAGAAGAGAGTCGCGATAAGACCCGGCCTTTACACAGACTGATAATGTAGGGTTAAGGTGTCTCTCTCTCTCACACACACACACAAACTGTATGCACACACAAATACAGGCATGCACTTGTGTGTGAGATCAGTTTTAGTGCCAAGTCCAAATGGTCAGCCTTCATCGTGAAAAACTCATTAAAACAGAAAGGTCAGAATAAAAGTAGTTTCAAAGGCTGGATGTTTTCCAGCACGTATAAATGTAAAATGTGAAGAAAAAAAACCTTACTGGAAATGGAAACGCTTTTCTCCTCTATTTGAGCACTCAAACTACTTTATATAACATGCTTTGTTCACACAAGCAGATTTTTCTGTCATTCACACACAGATGAACGCACTGGAGAGCAACTCTGCCCAAGGATACTTTCGTAGTGGAGCAGCCAGGGATTGAATCACCAACCTTCTGATTAGTAAATGATCCGGTTGACCTCCTGAGCTACAGTCACCTCAAATAAACAAGGATAAGAAGAAATAAGAATATAAAGCCAAAAGTACATTCAGTTTTAGATACCCAGTTATTCTTATGTTCCCTCTTGCTGTCTACTTCTAATGGTTCATCTGTTCATTTCTGTGGAAGGGACTTAAGACAGAAGTGGCTGACCAATGTTTGTCATCCACTACCACACCCTGTTTCCTCCTATTGTCCTTCCTGTTGTTTAAGACTAGCCTATACAGGTGGGATAAGCATTCATTATGTCTTCTAAGACCAGTGTACACAAACCACCACAAGTAAGATAACTCACTAAGCAGATATTCACATATGGGCTGAAGATACACATGTAGGTACATGCATCAGGTCTGCATGTTCTCCGCTGCATCTGTCTGTGAACAGGATCCAGCCAGGTCATCTCTGTTCTTCTGACACCCCAACGAGATTAGCTCCAGACACCTCTTGACCCTCAACAGAAACAAAAACAAAAAAGAAATCAAAACATCTTTACATCAACTGAAATGCAGAACAAATACAGACTTAAATGTAGTTTTAAAAATGATTTTTTGTAATAACTCCTTTATTTATCAAGGTAAAAATCTCACTAAGATTAAAGATCTCGTTTCCAAGAGAGACCTGGCGTCATGGCAGCAAAAGTCAAAAACACATGCACCACATAACTACATAGCAATTAAAACAAATACAATATTCCGTACAAATATGTGAAAAATATACAATAACAGCTTTTAGCTTTTTATTGAATGAAGTTTACATGAATGTCAAAGAAGTTGAGCTTACACTGACAGTGGATGCAGGCTCTTACACCCATCTAGTGGTTACCAGATCAACTGCAGTCTCTGAAATTACCTGAGGTCAGTAGGAATTCTTTTTTCCAACCATAATTTGACTGGAGATCCTCGGCTTGGTCACAATATACAGTTAATCCCATAAGAGTTAAGTATCAGGTTTTTTTTTAATTACAGTCATTTTTATATATAGTGGCCATATTAAATTGTAACTGGACAATTGTAATTGAAAAATTAGGGCCAGGCGAGGTCTATTCCTTCATTATTCCATGACAAATTAAGGAACTAAAAGATCTGGAGTTGATCCCAAGTGTTGAACTTGCAATTTGTAGCGTTTCATTAGAATTCAGTCAGTGCAAGTGAAAGGGGCCATAATTAACCCCCACGTAAATCTATTAGAGAAAGTTGCAAAATCAGCAATCTGGTTCCATCTTAAAAAGAATGAATACTCGGGAACACCAAAAGGTCAGGAAGATCATGGAAGACAACCAAAGAAGATGATCACAGAATTCTCTCTGTGGTAAAGAAAAAAAAAATCAGAACATCTACCTAAGTCAAGAACACTCTCAATGAGGTATGAGTATCATTATCCAGGGTTTACAGCAGGGTGTCATCCACTAGTTACACTTAAGAACGGGAAAGGCAGATTAAACCTTGAGAAAACACCTAGAAGACATCCACAAACAAGCAACAGCTGAAGAGTGCTGCAGTAAAGAGAGAAAAAAGTATTTGGTGATATCCATGAATTTTAGGCTGCAAAGGATTTTCAACCAACGACTAAAAACTGTTTTTATACTTAAAATTGTTGAAATTGTCCTTAATTTTGAGCTTCTCAAAATAGGGAATTGTGTATAAAAAGACAGTTAATGCAGTTAAACCCCATAAGGTAAACCTGAAAGTCTGCACTTCAGTCAGCGCTTGACTGCATGATTCAAAATCCACTGTGGTGATGTACAGAGGCAAATTTGCAGAAAATTGTCCAAGTTTGCAAAATCCTAAGGACGTAAATCTATGTGCAAACACAATTGTTGCTGTTAAAAATGAAGCTTCAGAATAAGGAGAAGGAACTTAACTAGGGGTTATGGGATATTCTGAAGGAAAAGATTACGTAGCTACAAATCGTTTAGTAAAAAAAACGAATTTAGATGAGCCGTGATAACTGTACTTACTTCAGTACTGTAGATGCAACAGACGTTCCAGTTGCTTTTAAAAAGCCGCGGTCGAACGCGGAACAAAAAGAAAGCGTGAGTTCATGTTTCTTCCGGTTTACAAAGTCGGCGTACAGGCGGTTTTCTTCAAAACATTATGGCGTCGAGAAGAGCGACAACAGTTCCAAGTAGTTTTAAAAGCATCCCCACTGACTCTAAAAGGTAGTTTCTATATTTTCTTTTTTCTTTTACACTGCTGTTGTAACATTCTCCGGTGTTTGATTTGTTTTAAATTGTAGCTTATTTTAATGTGCAGAAAACACACTGAAGCTCAGCGGGTTCTCTTTGACGCACTATATATTCTTTTCTTTAGCGACAGGCCTAGACGTATTTAGAAAATAGTTTATAAGTAGAAATACATTTACAAGAATTTTTTTGTGTAGAGAAAGCTGAGGATAGCTCGGCTAACATTATAGCGTCTGGCTTAGCATACTTTCTGTTTGTTCCATTTTCGTCCTCATTTCTGTATCCTTTATTTCTTCTCAGTTCAAAAAGCAGTAACCCTGCTAATAAAGCCAACAACGTCGGATCTGTGAAGAAAACTGTTAAATGTAAGTATGCGATGCTACTATGGGCTTAATAGATTGTTAATTTTACCTACAGCTGTCAGTGTCAGACATCACATTAATTTATAGTCCTAAAAACTCCTCAAAGGGTCTTCCACAAGGTATTTGAGCTGATCACTGTCTGTGTGAGTTTCCATAAAAGATCTAATAATGCAACTCAATTTGCATGATAGCTGTTAGGTATAAATAAAATAATCATGACACAATTTTTCTAGAACTTGCTTAACTATTTTCCTTTACAGAGGACTTTAGTGATGTGAGGCTTGCACAGATGTGTTACAGCAAGGGTGGGGAACTCCAGGCCTCAATGGCCAGTGTCCTGCAGGTTTTAGATCGCACCCTTGGTCAACACACCTGAATCAAATGATTAGTTCATCGCCAGGCCTCTGGAGAACTTCATGACATGTTGAGGACGTAATTTAGCCATTTAAATCAGCTGTGTTGGATCAAGGACTCGTCTAAAACCTGCAGGACACCGGCAGTTGGGGCCTGGAGTTTCCCCACCCCTGTGTTACAGCAACATTCAGTCTAAATGTTTTTTTCCTTTCTTAAATAATATCCATAAATGTCCTCATTAATCTTTAGCAAGTGGGACTGTTGTTAAGTCTCGATATCTTCAGTCTGCTGAGAAGACATCTCTTTCAAAGGTAAGGCTATTTTTATTTCTGTTTTTCTGTAAAATATGTGCTTCACTTGTTCATTAGATACATCGTTCTTCATCGTTTTACATAGCTTTCAAAGCTAAGCTAAGATGTTGAGATATTGTCTTCAGCCTCTCACATTTATATTTAGCACACGTCTTAATTTCATCTTGAATTTTGCTGTCACGTTTTTCATACTGACTGCATCTCTGTAAACATTAACAGAGTAACTCACTGACCAATGAGTCGATCACTGTGCCACGACCATCTTCACCAAAACCCACAGGTGTCAAACCAAAGGCGGCTACTCCGACAAGACGCTCAATGGCCCCATATGCAACATGTAAGTAGTCCCTGTGGCCATAGTTGTGACTGTAGGTGCTGATTCAGATGTGTATGGTAAGTGTTGTGCGCTGTAATCATATTATCAGCTTTATAAAAAGCTTTTATTTTCATCTGTCAAGACTTTGATGCAGATCAGAGGTATCCAGTTCACTTTAGAGCTCAGGAATTAGGTCCACCTTAGCCAACATGCCAATAAAATCATGCA